TAAAGAACTCACTTTATCTAAACAATATTATATATATATAAAGTTCAATAATTTAAATCCAATGTATTGATAACACATGTCCTTGCTCATTTCAATTAGAGAAAATCTAGTTTCCTTGATCCTTTGTATTAAATTTGACATTACTAATTTGTAGGGACCGAAAACCTTTGAGTTGGACCTGGAAAACCACTAACCCTTGACTATATAATACTATTATTACATTTATATCTCTATAATACGGGCTTAATTCAAAAAACCATCTACTAACTTTCAGTTTAATTTCAATTTCATCTATTATTTTTGAATTGTTTCAATTCTATCTATTATCTTTCATATTTATTTCAATTTCATCTAGGTAGTTAAAGTTAACAGAAATTTTAACGAGAATCTTCTTAAACCTTAGTACTCTAACTATGTTTCTTTTAACTTTTTAGTCCTTAAATTTATATTCACAATAAAAATAGTTTTTATTCTTATTTTGCTAAATGTTTTTTTTAGAAAATTGTTTTACAGAGCAGACTACTTTCAGTCCACCCTGTAAAATTATTTAAATACCCTTAATTCTATTTTTATATTATTTTTGTATGAACATTTAAATCATTTTATAAGACAGATTGTATGCAGTCTGTCCTATAAAATAAATTTACTCTTAAAATTTCTTATTCTGAACTTATTGAATTTCTCTATCTGAATTACAATCTATTTCTATAAACTATTTTTTGATTCATCATATTTTATTAGGATTTAAGTGTCACTTTTTTAAAACTCAAAGGACTGCTCTTTCTTCAAATTTAACTGCAACCTAACATCCTTTTTGTACGGTAGACTAATTTGAAATATTTTTCAAAGTTTCTAGATCATTTAGAAATGAAACAAACTTTCTAGACTAAACTAAAAATAAACTGAAAGTTAGTAGATAATTTTTTGAATTAAGCCCTATAATACGAGTAATTAACCTAATATATTATCCTAAGGAGGTTACTTGTGCTGCTCCCTAACGCTTACTTTCTTTTTCTCCTCTCTTTCTCGGTACAAGGAAAGTGAGATTTGATTGTTTCACCTTTGTGGGTTTCTGAATTATGGCTTCAACTTTGCTGTTGGTGGCCGTCTTTGTGATTGATCTCATAGCTTTTGCCCTAGCTGTTGCTGCTGAGCAGAGGAGGAGCACCGTAAGCTTTTCTTTCTCTTGTTCTTCCTGCTTTTCTGTGTGTTTTATAGACAAATCACTAGTTTAGTTTGGTTTAGTTTACTTGCTTGAAGACTCGACACTGGTTTATGATTTCTTGTTCAAAGGTTGTGGCTTTTTGGTAGTAGAAGAGGGAAAGTTCAATTCTTTTTCTCTCTTGCTTTGTGTAAACCACACATTTGCACTAATTCTTCCCTAGATCTGGCATGACCGTTCTTGAGTTTTGGCTTGTTAACCTCGAACTGGCATGTTATTAGCTTCTAATTCGATCCCCATGTCATGTTTTCATGTATGTTTGTTCATTCATGGAAGACATGCTTATGCTTTACTTGTAAGGGAGAGATTGGAACTGGATTTAGATAGGGTGCCGAAACTAGACTAGATGAAATTTCTTTTCATGGGTGGTCAATTGACAACTTGATTGGATTCATGAAAATGGAGTCAATCAAGTAGCATGTTGGAAATACTAGAGGAAAAGATATATAGTTGTCGTGCTTTGCCTGTTCATTTTCCAGGTGGTTGGTTCTGAGCATAAATATATGTGGAGAGAGATAAGGGAAGAAAGAAGTAGATATGTTTTGTTCTGAGTTTCTGTAGCCATTAGAGATAGACACCACCGGTTGTAGTAGTTGACTGAATTGATGGATCCCCTCACTAACACTATCTGTCCTTTTGCTGTGAGGACAGAACTTGCGAAGACCTAGGATAAAAGAT